CAACACTTGCCCATCTATTATGTCAGCAAGACATTGCTGGGAGCCGAAACAAGGTATTTGCCACTGGAAAAACTGGCATTAGCCTTGATCACGGAGAATTGCACACCATTGAGACAACACTTGGAGGAATTGGTGGCAGCAGGCCACTTGGATAAGTACATCAAAGGAGGAACGCAACCAGCCCCCCAGGATCACAATAACCCTAACAGAATACCAATTGACGCCCCGCCTCAAGGCGTTATCAATGTAATACATGGAGTCTTTGAACCTGAGCGTGTATGCGAGCTCAGGGGATCTATCAAGAAGGCTGAGCACTTTAGAGAGGTGTTAAGTGCCCAACCTACCATCAAGAAGAAAAAGACAGAGGCAACAAACGTCATGTCTTTTTCGGATAAGGACTTGGATCGAATATACTGTCCTCACAATGATGCTCTGGTCGTCACTCTCCGAGTCAAGGATTTTGACGTCAAGCGGATTCTGATTGACCAGGGTAGTTCATGTGAGATCATGTACTACGACACATTTAAACAACTGAAGCTACAAGACAAAGACTTGGTGCCTTCAGTTTCTCCCCTAATTGGATTCAACTCCATGCCAGAGTGGCCCGTCTGCAAAATAATTCTTCCGGTCAGAGCAGGTAGCGTAACAAAACAAGTGGAGTTCTGGGTATTGAAGGTCCCCTCCACTTATAACATCATCTTGGGCAGAACATGGCTGCACGCCATGCGTTCGGTGGCATCATCCTACCATCAGGTAATGCGGTTCCCCAACGACACCGGTATAATTGAAGAAGTCTATGGAGATCAGATCATGTCAAAACAATGTTTCGCCACGGTAAATGGCAGCCGCGCTGCCAAAGGATACGTTCATTCGGTAGAGGAACCTAAAAGCAATGAACTATTCGCGGACGTCGGCAAAAAAGCTGATCAAAAAGCGGTTGAGGACTTGGTGGAGGTAAAAATAGATGAGAAGAACCCGGATAAGTTCTTCTTGCTTGGCTCGTCGTTGTCCAGCACCGAGAGACTGGAGGTCTTGGAATTCTTGACCTCCAACATCGAAGTGTTTGCCTGGACACCCTACGACATGCCAGGCATTGATCCAAACTTCATCTGTCATCAACTCAATGTCCACCCATCCGCCAGACCAGTCATTCAACGTACATGCAGATCGACACTCCACCACGCCGAAATAGTGGTGGAAGAAGTAGGCAA